GTTACCCTGTCTGCTTTCAGAGCATGAAATCCTGCCCAGATTTCTCCACTTATCTTTTCTATGAACTTCTCTTGGAAGTCAGGGCTTCCCTAGCTCTTTCTTTAATTTATCCTTTGGATTACGCTTATGTCATGTTAACTGTGTCTTAGTTGTTAGAGACCCAAAGATGAACACAGTGTAAGTGCTGTGGTAATAGGGACACAGTGGAGAGACGCGAATGTGTCAGAAAGCACAGTGTACTAAGTAAGGCATACAGTCAGGGAGTAGCCTGATGCTCTTCTGCGTAGTGTTTGCAGTTTGGTCTCCTTGGAATATGAGACTTAGGAAAAGCAGAATGTTACAGAACTAGAGAGACTGACAAAGATCACATTTCTTTTTTTTTTGTTGTTGTTGTTTGTTTTTGAGTTGGAATCTCACTCTGTCGCCCAGACTGGAGTGCAGTGGCCGCTTCCGGCCACCACAGCCTCGACCTACTGGGCTCTGGCGATTCTTCGGCCTCAGCCTTCCAAGTAGCCGGAATTACAGGCATGCGCTACCACGCCCAGCTGATTTTTTGATTTATTGTAGAGATGAGGTCTCGCTGCCCAGGCAGGTCTCGAACCCGCAGGCTCAGGCAATCCACTCACCTCAGCCTCCCAAAGGCACGGGATTACAGGCTGAGTCACCGAGCCCGGCTAAAGATCATATTTCAAAGGGTTCTGGGGACTGAACTACGGAAATTCAGGTTCGGACCAAAAACCTGTGAAGATAGAAGAAGGATTATAATCAGCATGATGAGATGATCAGATTTCCATTTGGGGCTTTTGTGGGGATTTTTTTAAGGCAGGATCTCACTTTGTCATTCAGGTTGGAGTACAGTAGCGTGATCATAGCTCACTGCGGCCTCCAACTCCTAGGCTTCAGCAACCCTCCCATCTCAGCTGAAGCTGGGACTACAGATGTGACCCACCACCACACCTGGCTAATATTTAGATTTTTTTTGTAGAGACAGGGTCTCGCCATGTTGCCTGGGCTGGTCCTGAACTCTTGGCCTCAAATGATCCTCCTGTTTTGGCCTCTCAAAGTATTGGGGTTACAGGTGTGAGCCGCTGTACTGGCCAGTTTTCCACTTTTTAGAAGATTCTTTATTTGTAAGAGAGAAGATAGCTTAAAAAAGTAGCTGACCCCTGAGAATAGAGGCCATTGTCATCTAAACAAGAGGTTGAAGTGGCCCATAGAAATGGTGAGGGACATACAGGTATTTTGAAGTTAATGTAATCAGTAACACTTGGTGACTGAATATAGGCAGTGGGTGAGAGGGAGGACCCTTAGGTTTCTGGTCTGTGTGTTTGGCACTTCACCAAGATGAGAAGTACAGAGAGAGGAGCTGGTTTGTGGGAAGAATATCAGATCACTCTGGGATGTGTCAAGTTCAGAAAGTGTCTGATATGTCTAGGTGGAGATGTCTAGTACGACGTTGGCTGCAGAAGTGTGGAACTCACTCACATAGCTTGAAAGCATCAATTTCTTGGTTAATACCTTTAGTAGCAGTTGAGATGTGGAGTTTGGATGAGGAACTCAGTAAGAGCATCAGAGATGAAAGCTGGTACCATGGGAATGCTAGGACAAGCAGAAGGGAAAACCCAGAAGGAGATGACGTAGTTGTCAGAAAGATAAGAAAAGAATTGAGAAAGAATGGTGTTGTAGAAGCCATAAGGGTAAGACAGTTTTAAGGAGGGAGTGATTAGCAATGTCAGATACAGAGACCAAGTAGAGTAAGGCAGAGAAGCATTCAACAGATCTGCTGATGTGGGGGCACTGGGCCCTTCAGCAGGAGCAGTTTTGGTAATCACTTGGGGCAGAAGCTAAAGTGAGTGAGTTGAGAAGCAAGGGAAGAAGGTAGAGACAGTAAAATTGGCTTTGTACGAAGCAGCAGGGAGTGTTTGTCTCCTCTGCTGCCTCCCCAGGCCAGAGCATGCTGCTTGCGAGGGTCTGTGGTTTTACTCCAGCAGTGCTCAACTTTGACCCGGAGTTGGGGTTTTTCGGGGAGTGGTTGCGAGTGTTTTTGCTACTGATCTTGTTCCTAGTCCCCTTCTTGACAGATTCTCTACAGCTTTTAGTCCTTGTCATCCCTCTTCACGTGGAGACCTCTCAGTGGTAACTTCTGCTTCACTGAGAAGACTATCCAGAGTAAACTCATCTCTCTGCACATCCTCTCAAATTTACTTTTTCCTTCCACATTGTGTGATCTCAGTAGAACATGAGCCCCTTCACTGGAACTTTGGGCTATGGTTTCTGAGGATCATTCTCTGTCCCTCCTATATATAGTTTATCGGTTTTTAAGGTTTTTAAGGCTCATAGCCTTTCCACATGTTTGTCTCCGTAGCGGACAAACATCCTCCACTCTCCCTCCAGACCCTGCCTCCTCAGGCTGTAGTTGCTATTTTGCTTCTGTTTTGTCGGGAGGCTGTTTTCTCCACATCAGTCCTCAGTCTCCATGGTCCGGGTGGCAGCACAACCATCACTCCACTGAACTGCTTACACAGGCTACCAGTGTCCTCTTTTTTTGGGGCAGACCCGGTGACTTCTACACTGCCAACCTACTTTTCCTCTTGACAGTGTTGATGATCCCTCTTCCTGAATTTTTCCTCTCGTGGTTTCCCTAACACTACTCTCCTAGGTTTCCTTTTTCTTTCTTTGCTCCTTCTCATTCTCCTTTGCTGCCTTTTCTCCTGGCCCCAAATGGAGGCGCCTTATGTTGTTCTGGCCTGGGTCTTCACTTTCTCCACAGTTGGTGTCTGGGCCATGATATCCACTCCATGGTTTCACATAACTCCTTGCAAATAAATCTAGCTCTGCTTTTTTTCTTTAGTTCTAGACCAAACTAGACAAACTTTTTGACAGAAGCCACTTCAGTTTTTAAATAATGTATTTTTAAATGATGGAGTTTAAGTAATGTATTTAAAGGAATTTCAAATGATGTATATATTTTTTAATCCTCAGTCTGTTCCTTCACTCCACCTCACCCCCACCCGATCTAGGCAGTTGTCAGGTCCTGTTGACTTTTCCTGAAGGTGACTGGGAGCAGGTCACGTGTCCAGGCTCTTATTGCCATTTCTGCTCTGCTGCCCAAGGTCACGCCCTCATTTCCTCTCACCTGGGGGTATTACAGTACTTCCCTCTCTTGTCTCTGCCTTCATTTTCTCAGGTCTTCCAGAATGCTGCCAGTAGCAGCCAGCGCATGCCACTCTTTACCTTGTTTGCTCCCCAGTGTCTGCAGAGTCATGTCCAGCCTCTTGGTAGTCAGGGCCCCTTACGGTCTTGTCCAGATGACTCTTTTACCTTGTGTCCCACACCTCTCTAGATATTTCCTAAAACTCCATGAACTTTTGTTCCTCTGGGCGTTTACCTGTGTTGTTCCTGCTCTCCTGCCCATTCATCACATCCCTTTTGCCTAGAAGAATCCTTCGGGGCTCAGGGCAAGGGTCATCTCGATGAAGTCTCCCTTTTTGAATCTAGAGTAAATGTTTGGGGGATTATGGGGACTAGAACTTGACTTCAGCTGCCTTAGTAATGGGGACGACGGACACCATTAGGAACCCCTTCCCTCCATTGTCACATTTACACTAGAAACAGATGGTTAAAAACAGGAGCTCTGATGACAGCTCTGCCATTTACTAACTTTATTATTTTGGGCAAGTTATTTACTGTCTCAGTGTCAGTTAAGTCTGAGGGTTAAGTGTGCTTGCCACATGGAAAGCAAGTAACAAATGGTGGCTGTTGCCACCAGAAATGGTAAGATTTTCATCCCTCATGATCCTCAAATGAGATAGTAAGTACTGTAATAATTCCTATTTTACAGGTGATGAAACTGAGGCTTAAGGAGACTAAGCAACTTATCAAAACACATGATTGCTTTCCCAAACACATGGCTGTAGAAATTGGTTTTTTCAACCTTTTTTTTTTTTTTTGAGTTGGAGTCTCACTCTGTCGCCCCGACTGGAGTGCAGTGGCAGCTCCCAGCCACCACAGCCTCGACCTGCTGGGCTCCAGCGATCCTTCCACCTCAGCTTTCCAAGTAGCTGGAATTACAGGCATGCGCTACCACGCTCGGCTGATTTTTTTGATTTATTGTAGAGATGAGGTCTCACCAAGTTGCCTAGGCAGGTCTTGAATCCGCAGGCTCAGGCAATCCACTCACCTCGGCCTCCCAAGGCGCGGGGTTACAGGCTGAGCCACCGAGCCCGGCTTCAACCTTTTATTCCAGAATGTCTTTAACCTCAACAAGTATTTAGTAAACTGAATTGAAAGATGGATCTGGAACACCAGAGTCAGACTAGGAAAGAAACTTAGAAATTGTCACCTGCACAGGGAAGGTAATTGGAATCATTCTCTTTCCTTTGAAGTTCTTTTATCTCTTTGGGTTCACACATTTCAACCACCCTTTCAGCAATGAGCTGTATATTTCTTTGTGACAGATAATAATTATTATGTTTAACTGTTACTTAAATCTTTTGTTGTGAAAATTTGCACGTATTTATCTTCTTTCCCCACTGGGTTGTAAACTGTTTGAGAGCATAGGACTGTACCTATACTTCTGTTTTTAACTCATGAGGTCCCTGTTTTGCTTACATAGATAATAGGTCCAATCTGGGTAAAAGTTTTAATCCCAAAAAAGGAATTCACCTATTTCTAAGCAATGCTCAATCAACCAAGATGATTTTGTTAATCTTTACTTTCTATGATTTGGATTAAGAAAACATTACTTCACATTTTCCTAATAAACATTGCTATGTCATATATATATTTTTAAAACTGTTCCTCTATTGCTCCATTTCTCAGTGTCATGCCTCTGTATGCTTTAGGATTCTGACACACATTTATACCCTTGTAATTGAAGAAACTGAAGGTCATTTTCCAGTGGTTCTCCCATTTTTTTATCTGACAAAGTATTCTCTACACAGCTTGGTCAAGACTCAAGGTTCTTGACGTTTAAATGCTTTATACTTTTCTCTTGACAGAGCTGAAAAGCTTCAGCTGCTGAATCACAGGCCTATGACTGCTGTTGAGATCCAGCTGGTGAGTGAAGGGGGCCTGAACTTGAGAGGGTTGTTTTCTAGGTCCGAGATTTAGAAAGGCTTCAGATGGACAGGTCAGAAACTGCCAATTATTGAAGTGGCTGTCCAGCCACCCCATTTTTTAAAAAAATGAGACCTCACCAGTTTGACCCTCACCAGTTAGTATGGACTTAGGGAAAGTAAAAGACTAGAAGAAATTTAATTCCTCCCGTAGGGTTCGGGACTATAACTTGGCAGCTCTCTGTCTCCCATGATGTCCTCGGCCATTCTGGCCATTGCTTTCCTGTGGGGGTTGCTGCCAACCAGATGTTGCATAAAAACATTAAACTCAACGTGTTTCTGGTGAGTTTTCCGTCCTCCCACTCCTACCCTTCACCCCTGCTCTTCCTTTCTTTCTTTTCTTAGTGAATGGAGCATGTGTGCACTTCCTCACGTGCTCTCTTCCTCTCTCTCACCCCCCTGGCCTGGTCTTCCAAGCCAGAAACCTGGAAGTCATTCCCTTCCTTGTATTCCAAGTTCTGTTGCTTCTATCCTTTCTTCTTTCTTCTTTCCCCACTGTGCTGCATTGATTGCTATCTTCATTCTCCACATGGCTCTTACAGTTTTTGCCTCCAGCCTGGCCCCCTGCAGTCCATCTTCTACACCACTGTCATGGTTCTCTTCTAAAATCACAAATGTCATCATCTTGTTTCCCTGCATAAAACCATTTAGTGGAGCTTCCTCACATGTATAGTCCAATTGCAATCACTACATAAGGCTTCAGGATTGGGGAAGATGGCGGAGTAGAAGGCCTGAGATGGTGTAAGGGGAATGTGAAAATGGGGCCCAGTGATACAAACTGACTGGCTGCCATATTGGTACACTGTGGTAGTTTCCTTGCTTATACAGGGCGGAGAGCCTCAGTAAGCCACAAATGTTAGACAGGCCATCTAACTGCCAGTAAAAAAAATTTTGGTCTAGAGGATTAATAAAATGAGAGTCAAGCAGTTTCCAAGGTCAGTTTTAGAAAAAGCTCTTTGTAGAATTTCCTTTAGAACTGTGGGGAAGAAAATGGTTTAAAAAAAAAAAACAAACCACCAAAAACACCTATGTGGGCTCAGGAGGCACTGTGGCTCATGTCTGTAATCCTGGTGCTTTTGGGAGACGGAGGCGGGAAGATCACTTGAATCCAGGAGTTTTAGTCCAGTCTGGACAGCGTAGTAAGACTCCCATCTCTAAAAAAATAATTTAAAAAATTAGCTGGGAATGGTGGTGTGCACCGGTAGTACCAGCTACTCAGGAGGCTAAAGTGGGAGGATCACTGGAGCCCAGGAGTTTGAGGCTACAAACTGATTGCACCACTGCACTCCAGCCTGGGTGACAGTGAGACTCTGTCTCTTAAAAGAAACAAGCAAGCAAACAAAACTAGCATCTTTAGAGTTGCTTATAAAAAAAACTTTTCAAAGGCTCGTGGGGTGTTTAATTTTTGACTAGAGCTTTTATTATCTTTTGAGTTGTTTCTGCCATTCAAAAATGCACCCAGAATTAAATTAGAAACATTCCTTCCATCAGGGTGTCTTTCTGGGGAACTAACCTGTAAGCTTTTTTGTGTGTCCGCATTATTCTGATGCTGTACTCTGCTAAAGGTTTAACTTAGAGGAGAGAAAAAAACAAAACAGCAAGAACCTAATCCCTGTCCCTCTGGGTTAAAGATCACATGTCGTGTCTCCTCCAGCTTTAATCAGCAGCATATGTTGTTCATGGCTTAATGACAGACGGAGAGAAGAGATGAGGAGGATTAGTGTGACCTCATCCCAGAGCCTGTAGAAAACTCTATTATTACTTGGGAAGATGAGCTGCTATTGAGAATGGTGTATGCCACACTGGTCTCTGGCGTGGGTCATGGTGCCAGTCACTGCCGACAGTTGTAACTTTGAGTGCCCTCACCACAGTCTTGGAAGGGGGCAGATGGTCTCTCCATTTTAGCCCTGAGGGCTAGTGAGTGGCTGCTTTGGGCCTTTCTGATTCAGAGCTGTGCTTTGTTCCTCCAAGCTGGGTGTACTTTTGCTGGGTGAGAAGAAAGATGTGTGTGGTATCCCCTAGGTTCTTCTCATCTCCTTTCTACAAAGTAGCTAGGCCTTGATAAAAACGATGTTGTTTCCCAGGAGTTGGACAATTTTATAGCTACCCTGGGATTTGGTTACAGAAGGTAGGCGATAATTTACCAAGGTTTATAGCAATGTCTCTTCTCGATCAGAGAGGGATAAGAAATGAAAGTTTCACATGGAGTGGAAAGTACAAGAGACTTGAGACGCTCCCTCTATTAACCTCACAGCCATTTATTCTCCCTGGGTCCAGAAAGCAGTCCCAGCATCCAGCATTTGTTAGTTATTCGTTTGGGAGCCGGGTGTCTTTTGGAGGCTAACGCATCTCACTTCTTCAGTTATGCCTCAGCCGTGACTTATTGTAATCCTCTGGTGACTGCCTGCTGCCTCAGAGGGTCTGCGAGGAAATGGGCTGGCTACCTGGCTTAGGACTTTTGGCATGCCCAGTTGTCTATTTATTTGGAATGATTTGTGAACCCTCTGGCCTGAAGATAGATCAGTGAGCTCTATGGTCTCACAGACCACTGTCCTGAACTGCATTAGTTTCTGTGCCTGTTACCAATTTAGTGACTATAAAACATCTTGAATTATATAGAATGTTATTGCTTGTAAAGCACTATCACATATGTTCTTTTTATTATTACTGTTTAAAAAATTTTTTTTTGAGTCAGAGTCTCACTGTGTTACCCGGGCTGGAGTGCAAGTGGCATGCTCACGGCTGCCGCAGCCTTGACCTTCTGGGCTCAGGTGATCTTCCTGCCTCAGCCTTTCAAGTAGGTGGAACCATAGGCATGTGTCTTACCTTGTTGCTCAGGCTGGTCTTGAACCCCTGAGCTTAGGCAATCCTCTCGCCTCTGCCTACCAAAGTGCTGGGATTATAGGTGTGAGCCACTGCGCCCGGCCCACATATGTTCTTATTTGGCCCTGAGTATAGGCATTACTTTCATTTTACATTAGAGAAGGTTAAAATTTAGAGAGAAAGGATAAGTGAACTGTTCTAGGTCAAATAACTGGAAGTGTTTTGTTGCTGTTAGATTTTGAATCATTTTGAGGAAAGTAGGACATTAGCTTGGCAACTTACAGTGAGAAACAACTATTTTTGGAGTTTAGCTGCCCAGTTTGATGCTTTTGGGATTGATATAATAAAAATTTATCATTTATGTTAACCCTTCAGCCAGTACTTTGGATTTTTACATTTCATTTGCCTTTATATTTTGAATAACCTGAAACCCCTGTTATCTGAGAACATTGAGATGGTCACTTTAAATTGTTAAGTAAAGAAGTTAAGTTGGCAATGACTGGCACCGTGATCCATGCCAGAGACCATGTCTGACATACACCAGACTTAACTTCTTTACTTAACTTACGTCAACTTAAATTCTTTTTTTGTTTGTTTGTTTTTGTTTTTTGTGTTTTTTTTTGTGTTGGAGTCTCACTTGGTCGCCCAGACTGGAGTGCAGTGGCTGCTCCCGGCCACCGCAGCCTCACCTGCTGGGCTCCGGCAATCCTTCTGCCTCAGCCTTGCGAGTAGCCAGATTACAGGCATGCGCTACCACGCCCGGCTGATTTTTT